TTTCATACGTGTTTTGGTTTAAATTTATAGCTTGACATGAATTTTTGTGTAGTGTGATAGTTGTACATAAAGGGCACATCACACCTGTGATGTGTGTACAACCTCCTGGAACTTTTCCTTCTGTGTTTCCTGATTCTTGAGGTTTCCCATGCAGAAGGATAACACTGAAGAGTCCAAGTCCAATTATCGGGACTGTCAGTCACAAAGTTTTCTTCCAGTAACTTTCCTTTTACTACTTTTTCTTCTTTTACACATGATAATAAAAGGCAATGACCGTGCATGGGATGTTGTTTGTGGGTTATTGATAAATAACCCAACTATGCTAATTTTGGGGTCTGTGGTATCAATGATTAGAGAGTTATGTGAGGTTACACTGCCTTAGCATTAGAAATATGTTTTAAATACACAAGGGTGGTACTGTGCTTACTGTAAAACCACTGATGGTTGGTTGCAAAATAAAAGCCCTCCTGTAAGGTAAATAACAGAGGGAATGTGTAACAGCCAGATGTAAGCAAGAAAAAGCACATTCAGCTGTGTTTTGAAGAAAGCTGGGGTTGAGGAAGGAAGAAGGCAGGAGAGACTTTCTGAGTCAGGAAGGTACATTCAGCTCACAGGGGCTTTCTAAAAGGTGAAAAGTTCCTGAAGCAGCAAGGAAATGCAGAGGAGGACAGATTTCAGAAAGGCAGGCTCAAGGAACGCTCTGGAGAAGATGTCAAACGAGACCAGCTGTCAGAATCATTGTTCTCAAATGTGATAGACAGGTGCCATCCTGAGGCATGTCAAAGACTGAGGGAGTCTAAATGAGCAGGGAGTTAACAACAAATAACCCCAAAACAACAGGAACCTTTATTATGTTAACATAACTAACTATGGGGAATTGTAGTATTTTAAACATTCTACTGTCCAAGAAGACTTTAACCATAACTTTGAAGTTCAGGCCTATTAGCTGAAGCTTTTTGGTCTGAAAACTCAGCTATAATCATCACAAAAAAGCTCTTTCTCCAGATCTCTTGCATTTCTTAGATCCAACTGGCTGAAAACCACCATGAGACCAAAGTTTCTTAAAGCATTTTTATGTATCCTTGCTTTATGAACCTTTCTTGACAAAAATGGACTACATTCTAAGTAGAAACAGAGTTTGTGTCCTTCTGTACTTAAAAGTAAACAAATGAGTCTAGACTACTCCTTAAGTTTGAGTGTAAAATGGTGTATGTCATGTCATTGCTTCTTCTCAGCTGATTTACCTACTCCTACTACAGGTGCTTTCCTAAAACCAATAAGCCCTTCCATACAAATATTTCCTTCCAGAGCTGGGACATACCCCAGTATATATTGCCGTTTCAAAATAAACAATTATTGAAAACAACTTTTTACATTGCTGCAAATATAAACCAAGAATTCAAAATTACTTTTCAGATAATAGTTTTTCTCTAGCAAATATAATATTCTGGAACAAATATGTTTAATAAATGGGGATACTCCTGGACAAACAGGTTTGATAGATGACCAGCTAAGTATTATAGGCCAAAACTGTATTAAATATGTCCCAATAAACATAGTGCAAGGATGTGATGTGCTCAAGCTATGACTGAATTTTGCATCCATGACAGTCTGTAAGTCATAAGCTTCAAAGTTTTCTCTATATAAGTAAGTTTTTTTCCCTGTATTTTTAAAAATCCTATTTCTAAGAAGAATAGGGAGATTTGTAACATGCTTGTAAACACTGAGAGCCCCCAGGGAAGTTTGTTTTGTTTTTTTTTTTTTTCATGGAAATCATCATTTCCCTAATCATTCAGCAGCTGTGGAAATTTGAAAGATTTATTCAGCTCCTATTAACAAATTATTGTGGCTTAAAACCAAGCCAACTGCTACCACTTTCCAACATGCTTCTCAGGCCTTTTGGCAGCTCTAAATATTTTTGAAATAAACTTCAATTTTTCAAACAACAGGAATATGAGAACCAAGAGTGCTTTGCAGGGCAAGAGTGATGGAGGGGTTGCAGCTTCATAACCAAGAGGGACTCTGAAATCTGGCATCCTCTTTCAAAGCCACACTTATCAGCACCTTTGAGCTCGTTATTGCAAATATGACTAGAAGCATAGCACACCCCCAGACCAACAAGAAACAGGTCAGATTTGCTTATTTATACTGAAACAGAGCAACCCACTAAATCTGACTATTTGCACAGCACTGTCATCTTCGGGCAAACCACGGCTCAGTCAACACAGCAGCTCCCTAACTCTGCTTTGAAGCTGGCAGATTTGATGCCAAGCCTGTGGAGAGCAAAACACAGCTCCACAGTTTCTTTTCCCTGTATGAGGTTTTAGCCATATAGCTATAGATAGAAGATGTGGGCATCACCTGCTGCAAATGACAATCTGAAGCTCAGGAAGTTGCCTGAAGCCATTTTGGGAGCCACTGGTACAGTGTTACACTTTTCTTTTTCTACTTAACCATGATGATGTAAGCATGAGACATTTAGAGCCTGGATTCATCTGACCAATTTTAGACTTCCAAGTGCTTTTGAGGTGTGATTTATCCTGAGAGAGAGCTCAGACAAGCTATATCCAGCAGCTATTTTACTTCATCAACTCGGAGTCAAGGGTGCTTAGCTGAGCAGAGACACCTGTGTTGTCTATGGTTTCAGTTGGGAATCCAGCAGTTATCTCAAGTCCTGTAATTTCTCTCTAGCCAGGTGTCTCAAAAAAAAAAAAAAAGCACCAAAGGGAAAATGATATTAATAAATACCAAAGCAAGGCAATGCATTTGTAAAGCACCATGGAATCAGTGTGAACAGACTGGAGCTCACATCTTTAGGCCTCATAAGTTACAAGACACCCAGATTCTTCAGATGTTTCTGTTCTCTTGAAGGAGAAGCCATGTCCGTGATTACACCAAAAAAATGCTTTCAACATCCAGCCCTTTTACGCTCATTAAAATTCACCCAGCTACCACACATTCCAAAGCACAGGAAGACACATTTACTAAGATTTATTTACACAAATCTGACCCAAATTGATGCTACTCATCCAAGATCAAATTCCATTCCAGCGTGAGCAACCAAAGTGAGTTAAACTTGCAACATAAAGTGCTGCCAGGGTCCTATTTTGAGAAACTCAAGTATCATTTCAGAATCATGCTGCTTTTCTGCAGTGAGCACAAGTCTGCTCATTGAGATTTATTCTCCCATTTCACAGGGAAGGTCTGCATGGCATTCCCTGCTCTGCCTCCTAAGAAGGATGTTTCACAGATATGCTGCAGTCAAAACTGTGTGAGCACCTTCTCAAGTTCTGTGGAACAATTCTCAACAGCTACTTGTTAAGCAGGGCCAGATGGTTGAAGGCATTCAAGCACTGCAAAGTCTTAACAAGTAAGGTGCTAATACCACACTACTTAGAGAGCCATCTCTTCTTCACAGCACCCTCCCCCAAAGAAACAAAGCATTAAGTTCCTAAATAACCTTCCACTTGGAGTACTACACAGGGAATCCCAACATAGCACTGAACGTTCTAGCCACTGAAATAACTCATTGAAGGTGCATCACTGCAGCTTCCACACCAAACTAGAGCTTCTTGCCTTTTCTGCATTCCCTGAGGAAATTGCTGCATCTGAGAGGGTGTGTGGAAGAGACAGATAAGACATACCACTGAGAGACTTAGATGTATCTTACCCTGCAGTGTAGGTATAGCCTCAGGATCATAAAGGTAGACTCAAACTCCTTCAACAGCCTCAAAATACTAAACAGAAGGGGTATTTACAGCCTTTAAAAAACCCCAGTGTTCATTGTCTGAAACCCTACAGTAAGAGTGCTTACCATCTGCTTAAGTAAATTGACCATTTGTCCCTGTTAGAGACAGCTGGGCTATTACAGCAATTAAGGTGGTACAGGGAGAGAGTGACATTTTTGTTTTGGGAAGAGGGTGTTTGCAGCACTGACAGCTTGAAACATTCATGGTTATGAAGAGCTGACATTCTTAAGCACATAAGGAAAAAAGGAGGAGCCCTTTCAGAAGTTCAAGTTAAAGAAATGTGTTTCCTACAAGATATCCTTCATTTCTGTTGAAGAGATTTGCACCAAATGAAAGAATTGTATCTCTGACAGTGCAAAGCATTCATAGTCACTGGCCAGACTTTTACAACATACACATTTGCCTTTTGATATGGGACATCTGTGAGCTAGCAACGGTAATAAATCGGAATGTTAGCACAGATAATTTTCCAAGTTTTAGGTCAAATGCTATCAAATTTAGCTTATCAGCTTATTGAGATAAAATAAGCCTTTTTGTCATTAGCTTTCTGATTAGTTGCCTAGTTCCAGAACCTGGGACATAGTAAATAGGTTCCTTTTTTTTCCTATAGCATGATGTGAATGCTTAATGCCCACTGGTTATCCTTATAAATTATACACAGGGAAATCACTGCTTGATCCCTTGCTAGAAGAGGGGAATGTGATGGTTTCAGAATGTTTAAAACAGACATTCCTAAAATAGCTAACTGATCTGGAATTTTTTCACAGTATAAGGCCTGAGCTTAGTGGTTAGGTTCCTTGATCTGCAACCATACTGGTTTTGATCTTGTGAGACTTCAAGCTGTGCAGTGACAGACTGTTGAGCTGGATACTTTGAGAGGTGTAGCGTTTGTCTTTCACAGGCAGCAGCCTTGCCTAGGAGCAAACAGGAAAAATGGAATACAGCCTTGCAGAGCTCTCTGCCACAGGAAAGTGTCCTCTTGTTGGGTGCAGAGTGCAGTGTCCACAGGCACAGCCCTTTGCAGGACTAACACACGGGAAAGAAAAAGCTGTGCCGTACAGAGAGACGTAAAAGTGCCGCTGTCGTAGAAAGGACTTGCGTGTGTTCCAGAATGGCTGGAAGAGCTCCACTAAATAAAATTTAGTCCAACTGTGCGTCACATTTCAGCTCTTGTGCTGGGAGAGATGTAAGGAAGATTTAAAAAAAAAAAAAAGTCTTTTTAATACATTTCACAATATGTTCTTATTTTAGAGTCTACATATCGTCACCAAGCTACCATTGATGATGAAGTGGTTTCCATGGAGATACTAGATACAGCTGGTCAGGTACGTGGCTGCATGTACTATTATCCAGTACCTTGGCTTGGACAGACAGCAGGGAAGGGGAGTGTGGTGGTGGTGGCAGTGTGGTGGGTGGCAGGTGTGCTCTGCTTCTGGGGACAGAGATTTGCTTCTAGGCAGAGCTCCCCCCTCCATCCCCACCATCAGCTGGCTGCTGGACTCAGCATTCTGCATCCAGATCCTTCTGCAAGGGACTCTGCTTGGAGTTTTCAAATCCTGGAAGAATAAACAAGTCGAGGTTTACTGTGGTATTAAAATTATTCTCATGTTTTAATTCAGGGCCAACCAGACATGTCATTAGTAAAAAATAAAGTCACAGTCTATTTCTACAGCCGAGTGATAAAGCTTTACAGCCTCAACCCGTGATTTGCACTAAAGTGAAGAGCAGTTTTGTCATAGTCAGGTCTGCCTTCCTTTCAAAATATGGCCCGTGCTCATGCTGGATAGGGCTATGCAGCTTGTGTGCTGGATATCATTCAGCAGAGCCCCCCTTCCAAACACCTGCTACCAGCCTGTCCACAGGCAGCTGGGCAGATCTCCTATGCTATGTGATAAAATAGGTGATGTGTGTAAAGTATAAAGTAAAGCAGCTGTACGTGGCTTTGTAGGCTTTGGAGGACCAACATCTCTCTGAAGGTCTGGTGTCTGTTCTGTAAATCAAATTCCTAAGGCTAGTCTCTGTCTTTGGGAACAGGAGGATCCTATCCAGAAAGAAGGACACGTGCGATGGGGTGAAGGCTTTGTGCTGGTTTACGACATCACAGACAGAGGCAGCTTTGAGGAAATGCTGCCGCTAAAGAACTTGTTGGATGAAGTTAAAAAGCCCAAAAACGTCACCCTGATCCTGGTGGGGAACAAAGCAGACTTGGATCACTCCAGGCAAGTCAGCACAGAGGAAGGTGAAAAGCTGGCCACGGAACTAGCATGTGCTTTTTATGAGTGTTCTGCTTGCACGGGAGAGGGCAACATTATGGAGGCCTTCTACGAGCTGTGTCGTGAGGTTCGGCGGCGAAAGATGGTCCAGGGCAAGACTCGGAGACGAAGCTCCACCACCCATGTCAAGCAGGCAATTAATAAGATGCTTACCAAAATCAGCAGCTAAAAAGAGCTGTACTAAACCAGATAAGATTTTAGAGCATATTAGCTTGGAGGCAGGGATGAGGTAGGCAGAGCACATTTAATTAAAAATGGTCAAAGCTTTGCAATGGACAAAAAAAAAAATAAAAATATGAACATCACCGTATTTTTGAATAACACAGAGTCATACTATTTTCCTGTTTTGAAATGTATTTAGCCACACTGCTTCTGGCTAATGTGGAAAAAAAAAACCAAAAACACCAAGGGAAAAAAACCACCAAATGTACTCCAAAGGACTAGATGATTGCGGGAATTGGCACCAACAGAGAATCTTCTGCTTCTACGTGGCTAGAAGCCAACGTCCTGCAAATCAGTAGTGCCTAAATATCATTTCCAACCAACCAGCTGCTCAGTAAGATTCAGCCTTCACTCCATCAACTACCATCACAACTAACATTCTCCAGGACTGAATATGTGTAGAGGCTGCTTTGTTATGTCAGAAAGTTTACCTGACACCTTCAACCAGCTCTAAGTTGGCTCATTGTGTGCTTTTACTCCAAACTGTACTTCCTTGTTATTTTTGTCAAATCTATGAGTGCTGATGTTCTTAGCAAGGTATGAAAAACATATAGGAAAGGTCTATTTTATGGAGTGTTTGGCCAGCAAGACATACATTTCAACAGAGCTGAGGTTCAGCGGCTCTTCCAGATCCTATGAAACTGCAGAATTCATGAAGAAATAACCAGCTAGTCCAGTGGCATTTCAGCTTTTTCCCCTCAAAGTGCAGGACTGTACTTGGGGAAATGTGACTAAATGTGTTATGAAATCAAATTAAAAAAAAAATATTACTATTGATTTAGTTATGGGTAGTTTTTAGCTTTTGTTTACACTTCTTGTTTTGGTCTTTTTTCAATTCAAGTAGTTCCTCTTAGTCTATCTTATACTGAAGAAGAAAAGAATCCTTGGGAAGGCAAGTATTTAAAGTCTAACACCCAAATGCAGATCAGATGTGACTGGCCTCTACCATATCAAAAGATCACAGTTTCCAGCTGTTTAAACTTCCAGATGTTGCTTGGAGCACTCTGGGGTTTGAACCAGCACAGTTTTTTTGTGACTTTTATCTGGCACATCGAAGTGAAAGTGTATTTAATCAGATTTTGGTGCCAGGGATAAAAAGTGTTCATTTTTTTCTTCTCCCTCATGCATCTGATTTAAGCCAGCTGTCAAATTTTGCCTCCTGTCTAGTTGGTTTGTTAACTGTATGCTAAAAGATGTAAGGACCAAGACTGGAAGATTTAAATTCAGATTGTCCTGGTTCCCCACCAGTTGTGTTGCATCCCTTTAGGCAGCGTGGTGTGCAGTTCAGACTGTTATCATGTAGAACCACAGCCAAAGGTTGGGATGATAAATGGGAATATTAGCAGTACTCTCCTTTGAGGGAAACCCCACCTTTTAGCAACTACTTACAACTTTATTCTCCACTGCTTTGTACTTCCTATGGTTATTTGCCTCCGTGATGAAGTGACTCCAAAAGGCTATCACATACAAATTGCCACAGATTTAGGAGAATATCTAGTTGGATAATGTTTCAGTTATAGGTAGCCATAGAGGTGATGGAACAGGCTGAAGAGTCAGATCTGTGTATCCCTGTCCACAGAGAAAAGTTCCAAGTTAGGACTTCTTTCAAAAGAATGTACTTCAAGGTATTTTACCAAAGTAATTGTTTTTAAACTCTCTCTTTTACCCAACCAGCATCAAAGAACATCACATTCAGATATATATTTTATTTGTGCTGTTATTTGTCTCCTCTGTTTCTGTATTCTAGACAGTGAAAACTCATTTCACTCTTCTGGAATCAATGTCTATATTTTGGTCCTCATGTTCAAGTATATTTCCATACACCATCTGGACACACTGCAGTGGAAACACTACCTTGTGCTTCTGGGCAGGGGGTTCTTGCAACGGGTGATATCACTTTCTCTGAGACACATCTGTTACCAAGCTATTCAACACATCTCTAACTTTTGTTAAAAAGAAAAAAAAGTAGAGGTTTTGCCATTTTTTTAGTCCCATTAGTAATGTAGAATTAACACAAGTGTAAAAGAAAGAGCTAATGCCTGCTCACAAACCAGAAATCTTTAGCTGAGGGTCTGAACTTGCAAGCAATGTAGTTACACTAAGAGCCACAATTAGCATTTGCAACTTGAAGCACAAAGTCGTTCTGTTATCTTTGAAATCAGTGCTGTTGCACAAATCTGAAGTAAACAAATTCCTTACCTGCAATCCCATGGCAACATAGCTAAGAGGAAAGTCTTGTTATGCTAAGCAATTGATTCATCCCTCTCTTATAAAACTTCAACAATTCTTTTATCTGAAACCCTTTCTTGGGGTTCAGAGTTGAGGAAGGAGAGGCCCTCATACTTTCCAAAAGACTCTCAATAAATTGTTTGTATCTTCCTTTATAATATCTGTGTGGAGAAATTATAAGATCCTGGTGAAAGAAAATGTTCCACTGTGCAAATATCACTTGTTACATAAAGCACCTATAATAAAAATAGTAACATTCCTTTGCAAAGACTGAATTTGGAAACTGCCAACCAAGATAAACACTTGGTCAAAAAGGAGGCTGCTATTTTGTAACCTTTCCTCCCACACAAACACCGTTTTCTTTATTTAATTGCTCATTAATTTTTTTCTTTTGGTGTCATGGGCTGATTGTCAAGCCAGTTCTACTATAGCGTATCTGTTGATACACGTCACATAGTATTAAATGCAACCTGATTTTCTGTTGCTAACAATGCTGCAACATATTATTGGCAATGCTGTAAATGTATAATATATCTACAGTGTGCAAATTGAGCCCCAAATTGCCCAAGCACTGAAAAGGCCAAATGCAGCATGAACCCACGTTTGATAGCCTTTCTGCAGCAGACATCAATGCTTTAAGTTCTGTTTCTGCAGCTGCTGTTTAAGCATATGTATATGACACTAACATCAAGTTTCTCTCCTCTGCCCGCTACCATTTCAGTGGAGAGAGGATGGGAAGGATGATAAACAAAAAGGGGGAGGAAAGGTGAAATGGATACTTGTTACCTACAACAAGTTGGTCGTCATTTATGAAGTTTTTAAATATTTATCTTCAATTGATGAAGAGTTAGTCATGCCCACGCTGCAAGACCTGGATCAGGACCCAAGACTTCCCTAGAACTTTGAGAATCTTCATATCTGGGGGTTTGGTGCAACTACAGGTGGAAGTGAGGATCAGCCACTGGGTTTGCACCTGGATCCGGACAAGGTGTCCCCAGCCTGGGGATAGTTGGATCTGGCAGTTTGCTACAAGTCTAGTTGAATTTTATATATATAATGATCTGTATGCATTTTTACATTAAAAATATGAAAGCTTGTGCTTGTAGATAATATATAAGAAAAAATAAAAAATAAAAATAAAAAAATAGAGGTCTGTACTGAACTCATACCTATTGATCTTCTATTGGATGTCTCCAAAGTGTTGCCTTCCAGCTTTTAAGCAGCCAGTTCCAAAAGTCGTGATTTGTTTTTTATTTAATCTTTATCTAGGGAAAACAAACAGCGAATTTTGCCTGAGTAAGCACTGCAACATTTGGATCATTTTATTTGAACTTTTTTGGCTGCTAGGCTTGGAATAGAGAGGTCAAACAGCATCTACAGTGAGGCACAGATCCAAATGTCCTTGCTAACTATTTCAAGGTTGATCAAAGAAGCTACAGTGCCACGGTTATTAAATGATCTCACTGAAATGCACCACCCAAACACTGTCCTGTGAGCTGAATAATGCGGATCTTGTTCCCAAGCTTCTGAGGTAAAATCTTGGGCTAAGCATACTGGGAGATTTATGCCAGTGATTTGGACAGAGACAACTTTTCACCTGCTTCCCATGTTCCAAGGATAACGCACTGTTATTCTGAAGAGTATGTGTATGATACATTATACAAATGGTAAAAGAATCATACATAGCATGAGAGTAATCTACTCTCTTGTTTTCCTCCAAACCTGGCCCAACCAAGTAACTCAAAGCGTGATCATAAACAGGTGAACAGCAGTGGGAGTACAAGAATACCACCTTCAACAGAGCACTGCATGAAGTCTCAGTGCTGGATTGATGCCCTGATGCCTAACTTTACCTTTGTGAAACCTCACAAAACTAGATGAGGCATCCTTCCAGTTACTGTCTGCCTCTAGAGCACTGCAAAGTAGCCTTGAGTTCTGTCAAACCACACTATAACCTTCTCCAGTCAAAATAATGTCTCCTGCAAAATAAATAGCTGCAGTGATAAAGGCTATGTATAAACAGTGTTTGGGGTTCCTTTTATCTTTCTCTGTAACGCCTCAATACATTTGCATATCTTCAGAAGAAAAGGAGAAATATAGAGGCTTTAATTAGAAAATGCTTCTTGGCATTTTGATGTATCTGCCTTTATGTTCTTTGAAAAATGAAACATATAATGAAAACAGTGTCATCTTAGAAACTCTGGTGTTATGCATTTTATTTCTGTTAAAGATGCCAGACACTAATTAGCTCAGGGCTGTGAAAATACAAAGCAGTGACTTGTAGTCCAGTGCTCTGCAAGGTTACTGGGAGGTGATAATGATGGCCTGTGTGAGGCCAGCTCGGTCTGGTTCCTGTAGACACAGTCCCACAGGGGGAAGCTGTTAATGCAGCTCGCAGCAGAAAAAGGCACTTTTGAGTACCTGGGGCAGGACTCCCCTGAATCCAGGGGGGTTATGCATGGAATGGATCAAGCTCCTGGTTCGCTGCCTTGGTAACCCATATGTAGAGAAAATACTCCAATGGCCCATGTCTCTCGTCCACTTGAAGGATTCCTCTCCATTTTTAGTTTGAAATGGACTGGTAGGAAACTGTGAGGTAAGTTGGCACTCCTGGCTGTCTAATAAATCAGAGAATTTGATGGGAGTTTGGCCTTCTGACTGGTCTCTTTCATCTCCAGCTTGATTCCCCAAAGCAGCATTTGTCTTTTCCTGCCGCTCTTGTATTATAATAAGTTTTTTTGAGTTTTGTTTAGTTGCTGGTTTGGGTTTGTTGGTTTGGGGTTTTTTTTAATTATAGTTGTCAATAAACTCTGATATCCAGGGGTGTTTTATGGGCAAAGAGGGTGTGTCCTCTCACAAGAATGAAGTATTTGCAAATGCCACTGGATATAAATTCTCAACAATGAACACAGTATCTCTGAAGAGTTGGAAACCTTTCTTTTTTTTTAATAAGGGAACCTCTCATAATTATAGTACAGACAGTTGTGTCAAGTACCACGGTCCTAAACTAGACTGAAATATTCTGCATCACTAGGAGGAGCTACATCCTACCCTGAAATATTAACATGCAGAATAATGACAAAAAAATTGCAAACAGGCCTCAAATTATGCCTCACAGACCAAACCTACACATTTTTTCCTTTTTAATTTTATGCACGTGGTACTAGGAATTTACAGAACCTTTCAAAATCCAGCAAGTTCCAGTGACTAAGAATATATCAGTAATGTAAAAATTAATGTTTTTTATCAAACTACTTTGTCAGTACACATGACATTAACTCCATCTTGTTTCCTCTAGCCCGGTCAAAGCTGTCATTGCTGTAAGGAATATCAGGGAGACACAGAAGGAACTTCTGACAGGAAAAAATTCAAATAAAAGAAACAGTAAATAAGGCAAAAAAAAGGGACATAACCTAAATAAAGGTTGAATTCCTATTTTCCTGAAAAGCAACTGCAAGATTTCATACACCAACGCTAGTACATGGGTGATCTGACCAAAATTAGTAAGCAGAAACAGTTGAATATTTTGAGTTTTGACTTCAATTTCTTTTTGGAAATCTAACTGAAAGGGAATAAAATTATTATTCTGAAACAGACATTAGGTCTGGAATTTGTAATTAATGCCAGGTTTCAAAGAATCCAGAAAATTCATTTGAAGCTTCTAGCTAGCAGAGGCGAGGAGAGGAAAAGAAAGAAAAAGAAAAAGAGAAAAAGAAAAGAAAATAGGAGGAAAAAGAATTTAAAAAAGGGGAAAAAAAACTAAGAAAAACCTAGTTTAAAAAATCCAAATAATTTCCTTTTTTTCTTAGGGTTTCTCTGTGCAAAGCTTTCTGTAGTTCTACAGTTGCTCACAAAAAGCCTTTGTTAGAACACCAAACACTGACACTTGGTATCCAAAAATCTTGTATCTCCTAGGGACAGATATAATCTCAGCCACATTCATGTAAACATTCAACTCAATTCGGTAGAAATCTGGGATAGAAGTTTACATCTACTGCAATCCAAGTTATTTCACTTTTGCATTCTGAAAGCAGGGTGTATTTCCCATCTTTAGAACGGAATTCAGTTCCAAAGCAGTGGGTGTCATTAACAATATAAATTACACATAGTTTTATTATGCCAAAATATATCTAACAGAAATCCATAAACAAAAGAATGATTTGTCTGTGTGAACAGAAAAGAGCAAAAGAATGTTGGATAAGTTCTACAAATATTAAATCTCTTGACAGACCCATTAGTTGCCTGTTGCTTCTTTTCTCTGTTTTTTAATATTTGAAATAACTACAATAAATGCAGAAAGCCTGTGACTTCTTCTAGGGGGTTTCTGTGAAGGACAGTATTTCTCTACTGTGGAGTTAAAGCATTCAAAGAAAACATATCAGGAATGACAAAAATTTATTTTAGAGAGGTAGTAAGGTAGGAAAGAGCGGTATCTTCAGACTTCCTAGAAAAGAAGCTGGTTAAAGCTCTCTGAAGAACTCTGACATTTATACATAGGGATGAGCTGTTATCTAAAGTTTAATCTCAGATTTTTTTTTAAAATAATTATTACTGCAGGGAGCAAAACAGAGATGGATAGGATGGTATGTTTTGGTCAGCGACCACTGGGTCTTCACTTGTGGGCTAGAGTTGTCATCATTCTGAAGTAAAGAGTTAATTACTAGCCTGGTTTCAGAAAATTTTCTCCAATAAAACCTACCACCTCTCCAATTTTCACAAATTGATTCAGTATTAAAAAAAAAACCAACCTGGAGACTGAAAGATCACACTATGTAGCCCTCGAACATTTCCTGGGATTTTAGAAATGGCTGCAGACAGAAATTTATAAGGTACTGTAAACATCCATAAAATGATAGGCATGATGTTCTGCCAGGTTTTGCCCATGTGTTGGCCCTGAGTTTTCACCACCAAATTCTGGGTTGTTTTAATGTCTTTGTCCTCTTCAAGGAAAAACTTAAAAGTTGCTGATGTAAAAAGTTAATGATTTGGGGTGAGTTTGACACTTACAGAAAAACCCATTCCCCACCACATTTTAATTTAGGTTACTGTGTTGAGCTCAGTGAAAATATCTAAATAACTGCTTAAGACACCTATTTCTCACAACTGTGTTAAAAAGAAAACATCTCTGGGACAGCTATTCCAACCATTTTTGTGAGCTCATACACAATTTGATATATTCTATAGTTTTCTACTGTTAACTTTTGGGCAGTAGGGCTTTTGTTGTCAAACACTCTTATGGACTCCTTAAACCTTTTTGAAAACAAGTTGATTTATTAAGGTAGTTGCACAGACCATGTCATGATCTCACAGCTCATGTAAGCAGGTGAGAGGTTACTAACCCTATTCAAGGATGAGCAAAGGGAACAATAGTTACCACATCAAGGATAAAAAAGAAATCAAAATATTTTTATTATTTATTTTCTGTTTTAAGAGTCTGAGGATTAAGGTATTTGTTTCTGGGGTCAGCTTGGTTCTGTTTTTTTCTTAGCATACTGAAATCACTTCTTAAAGGAGGTTTTACAGATTTGTTGAATGAGATTCAACTTAACTTGTAGGAAGGCTAAATGAAATACAATGGTCAGAGCCAACATAATGTGCTGACAGCTCATTGTATTCTCTCAGTGACCAGGAGGAAAAATCAGTGTGTAGGTCAGGATGCACATTCCCAAAGCGGTCACTGTGTTTCAGGTGGAAATGTGCCGTGTACTTTGAGTTCCATGAGTTGTTCTTTCTGCCTGTCTAGCCCAGGTCTCGAGTCAGAAAATAAGTCTGTATTGTCCAGAGCTCGTTTACATCCATTCACACCTTTGAAGGTCTGTTTCCCATTTAGATGACACAGAGACCCCTAAGGCTCTGTCCCTTCTGCACTTACTTGGGAATCCGAGTGGAGAAGGTTTGTCACTGACCTCTCCATTACCCTCCTTGGATTACACGATGTCACATTGTGTTAACACAGCTGAGACTGAGTACCCCAAGTCACTGGTCAGAGGAGGAACATCACCCTGGGGCTAGAAAGAGGTTTCAGACAACTACTACTCACTGTATCTCAGAGAAAGGTCTCTAATGCTTTGTGAGAAGCAGCACATCACCACTGTGGGGATTGCACATCATCACGTGAATCATCACGTGGCTTTCATGTGGCTTGATGATACATGTCCTTGGCCACACCACTCAGCTGACCAACAACTCCAGCTACAGTTTATGTCCCTTAATCCATCAACTGAGCTTGATTTATGGCCACAGCATGCATTTCAACTTAGAGGCAGAAAGGCCATGCACTTTTCACACGTGGTCCTTCATGGGTTTGATCCAGTTGCTTCTGTGACCCAGTCTGAACTTTCAACACAAAAAGCACAAAAAGCATGGTGTTTCCAACACACAGTTATTGTGGCTATCAAGTTCCAGGAAGGGAATAAGCTTCACTTCTAATTACATGAAGTGAATGTGTACCAATGGCAGACTCTAGTAGTAATGAGGGGAATTTTCAGAAACTCCCAAAGACTGGTAAATGTATAAGTAAGACTGCTGAGAGGCACTTTTCTGAATTGATTTTTCTTTTCAAGCATATATACAGTAGGACAGGACTAGAATACATCCCAATTCACTTCTTAAAGACCTGCATCAAGACTAAGTTCAGTTTTCAGGCTGCCTCAGACTTCCCCCTTTTGATCCTAAACAAATTAGTTAAGAGTTGTTTCATACTTTACTGAAGTTAATAAAAATAATTCCCAGTATGTTTTCAGGATCTTTGGAGTCTGAATCTTTACCCTTGCACTTCTCACTTCTGTTCCCTTAACTGTATGCAAGAGATAACAATGTATTGACTCTCAGTCCCTTTTCATATTTCAGTAGTATATCAGTATATATGCTAAATGTCTATGCAACTCTTGGCATACTGGGAGCTCAAACATCTTGGAGACACTAAGATTAAAAATGAACATCAGTCATCTCATTTAAAAGCCACAGTGAATCCATACCAGACCTGATGTGACCAAGACTATCTGATTGTCCAACTGTTGTTCCTCCCTGTTCAAATATCTCAGGACAGATCCATACTGTAGTCCTCTTCATTTTTCACTCTAAACCCTGCAGTGGTATACTCTTTCTGCCTACTTCCATACTCAGTAAAGCATGAACTCAAAAATTACATGCTCAGTCATTCCTTCAGACCAATCACATCCCTTTAAAAAGTCAATTT